CCATGGGAATGCGCACGCACCCGATAACCGGGGAGCTTTTGGGGCATGAGGGCGTGGACCTTGCCGCGCCCGCTGGCACGCCCATCTATGCGTCCGCAGATGGGCAGGTCACCATGGCACAATGGAATGGTGGCTACGGCCGGCACGTCCAACTCACGCATGAAAACGGTTACGTTACGTCATATTCTCATATGAGCCGTATCGCCGATGATATCGAGCCCGGCGTGGTTGTCCGGCAAGGCGATGTGATCGGATATGTCGGGACGACGGGCCAATCGACCGGCAACCACCTGCACTTCGAACTGAGCGTTAACGGGCGGCTTCTCAATGCGCTGGAAGCACAGCTCCCCACGAACCGATCGCTGACGCCAGCCGAAATGGGCGCATTCACGCTCATTGTTGAGAACATCGACAACCTGGTGGCCACGGGCTCGGCCAACGGCGTTGGTTCAGCGAGTGAAGGTTAATTCAAAGCGCCGGAAGCGGCACCCCGGGACGCCGAGATTTCTCTTGGAATGTGAGAGAGCGACAATGCAAAAACGCCGCTGACGGCGACCAGCAAAATGATAAGTACGACGATATTGCGATTGCGCTGGGAAGCCATCTTGAGCACCCGGTCAGACAAGAATGGAAAGAATCACGCCCACATTCCTAGGAGACGCATCAACGCAACTGTTTTAGGCTGCGATCGCAGAAAAGGAAACTGCGACACAGTCGCTATGCGCCCGAAGCTGGTCAAGTACGGAAGAAAGACGTTGCGTTGCCTTCGCAATCTTTTCAAATCAGGTCTGAAGAATGTCGGTCAATATTCGGCACGGACTGGGATAATACCGCTGTGGCTATCAAAAATGTCGGCCACTGCCGACCAAAATTGATAGAGGATAGACGCATCCCGAGCCCCGGAGGCAACCAGTGACCGGGGATGCGTTTCAGGCGCGACCTTTACGGTTGCGGCGTTGTCGCGCCGACGAATACCCGGAACAGCTCGGCCTGATCAAGATAGGCGCCATAGCGCGGGTCTTCCTGGTCCGCTTGGATACCGAGTAGATTCGAGCCCAGTCCCTTGGCGAATACCGGGATGAGACGGTTGGAGTGCCCGCCAGTCTGGAACAGCGCATCGGGCAGAGCACCAACGCCGTTCGAGGTCGGATCGGAGATGGCCACGGTGTCGGAGTCACCTCCCAGCAAAAGGTGGTCGTGGTCGGCGGAAGTTGGTCGAGAGATATGTATTAAACCCGGCGCCATCGGCGACGAGGTAGATGACATTTTGGGCCTGTTGAGCCTGGGCCTGTGTGACCGTCCCATAGCCGAGAGAAAGCGCTGCCGCGCCGAGCAATACCTTCTTGAGCAGCACCGTGAATTCCTCAGTGCTGCATTACGGAGCGTTAAACGGTTAAATGACCCGCCAGTATCCATGGGAAGCCATCTTTGCAGCACGTAGTAAGCCCTGGTTGCATATCGGTGACATCCTGACGGCAGTTGGATGAACATGAAGAAAACGCTTGTGGCAGATTGCCTTGGGTTACACGACTGTGACAGTCCATCGCCTTCCTGCACAGGCATCTAAATTCATCCTGTCCGGTTTCCGTTCACCTGCTTCCGAACTCCACGAGAATGGAGGTCTTTGCAAGAATCCAGCCCTGCCGACATCGCGGACGACCTATCAAAATGATGGCGGTGCACACTGAAGAGGACGGCTCTTCCACTCCAGGACGTTAAGAACCGAACTGGCCACGCCGGCATACCCCGAAGGAGAACGCCCTCTTCAGCGCGTCGATCAATTGCCCAGCGCTTCGTGAACCTGTTCATCGAACCGATCGAAGTCGTATTCGGTCAACGGTTGGCCGTTGATGTAAAATGTGGGGGTTTGCTGGATCTCGAGCTGCTCCACATCAGCCTTATCTTGATTGATCAGGGCTACAATCGCCGGCGAGCGCATTTCGGAGCGAGCCCGCTCCAGGTCGAGCCCCGCTCCCTCGGCGGCCGACCAGGCAAGTGCCATGTTGGGGTTTCCATGGGCGGCCCACATAGGCTGGCTTGCAAAGACCGCTTCCATTACGGGAATATAGAGATCCTGTACGCGAGCCGCTTCCAGAATCGCAACGGCCTCCTCGGAGCCGTCGTGGAAGGGCGCGTAGCGTACGACAAGCCTTACGTCCTCGGGATTTTCGTCGAGAATCTGTTTCACCACCGGATAGAACGCGCGACAGGCTTCACAGGCGGGGTCGAGAAATTCGACGATCGTCACCCGCGCGTCGTCCGGGCCAATTGACGGAGAAGTCGGCCGCACCAATATGTCGGTGTTCTCATTGGCCAACATAACGGCCTGCCTCGCCATGTTGACGTTATAAAGATAGGTTCCACCCGCCATTGCCGCCACCGCGACGACTGACGTTCCAATGACCAATGCGCGTCTGTTCATGAGTTCTCCTTATGCAGTGCGGCTCTGATGGTGAGCGCTGCAATCGCTGTGAATGTCAGTAGGGAAAGAAGAGGAAGTGGAATACCTGATATCGTCATCTCCGCATCAGCACACGAAACGCCTTGAGTGCACGGCGCTATCGCTTCGGAAATCACGCCGTAAAACAGCATGACATGCCATCCTGCAATAAGGCCGCCAGGCACGGCCAATACCAAGCCGTATTTCGCGGCTCGCGTCTCGACCGCAATGCAGGCCAGCCCCAGAACGAACGTCAGGGGGAACATGAAGATGCGTTGATACCAGCAGAGGACACAGGGTGTCTGCCCCATAACCTCACCGATGAATATCGCGCCTAGCGTTGCGGCCAGCGCAAGCAACCAGGCAACGAACAGCCATATCCAGGTGTCCTGCCGGTGGCTCCCTTGCGTGTTGTCTTTGGTTTCATTCATTTGCGGCCGCTCCAATCTTGTCTGGCCGGCGATCGTAAGACAAAGGCGCTTGGCCGATCAGCCGACGCTCGTGTCGTGAGGGCCTAGACTGCTGAACATCACCCTTCATCGGCAAGGCGCCTGACCTTGGTAAAGGCGATCTCCCGGTCTTCTTCGTAGGCGATCGTCCCGAAAAAACGGCCATCCCTGTCCAGCATGAACACTGATGCGGTATGATCCACATTGTATCCGCCCCCATCGATCGGCACTTTCCGAGTATAGACGCCCCAGGCGGCGGTCATTTCAGCCATCTCGTCGGCGTCACCGGTCAGTCCGGTGATATCGTCGGAAAACCAACTCACATATTCCGCCATGACGTCGACCGTATCGCGTTCGGGATCGGTGGTTACGAAGAATACCTGAATTTTATCAGCATCCTCACCCAGCCTAGAGAGCCAGTATTGCATATCGCTCAGGGTGG